TCGAGAGTGGATTTCAAAATCCTTAATTCAGATAAAGTGTGTGAACTAAATTAGTTCATAATTAATCCAATACATTATATAACATGTGTTTAAAAACTACACCCACATTGAAAAAAACACACACCCGTAATCTCTGTAAATTTTGAAGTTGACTTTTGTTTGAAGGGATTAATCTTTTCTGTCTCTCCTCACAGAAGATCCAAGCGTGTCTTAACTCCTTGCCTTACAAGCACCCCTTTACTAATTATCAGACCACTTAATTGCTAACACTGGATTTTAGTTACTGGTTCGGATTTAGTTTTCAAGGTTCCTAGTGCTCCTGAGGGGCTCAGGTCACCCTCCCCAGATTGATACCGAACTGCTGAGTCACTGGCAATGCAAAATCGCCAGCTTACGAATTAAAAGATTCGTTTTTCTGTTTTGTTTATTCTATAAAAAGGTGGTTACACAGTGAGTGGAAACTCCTGGTAAGGGTTCTTTGGGCCATTCTCTCCTGAGTACGTGCGGCGGGGCACTCGCCACTTTCCAGTCTGTGGGAGGAGCCACGGGGAAGGGCAGCTGCCCTGGAAATGTGAACCCCTGGCTTGTCCTCTGCTCTGATTTGATTTGGTTCCCTCTTGTTTACCTCTGACGAGGACTGAGTAGCCAAACCCACAAACAACAGCGCTTTCCTCCTCGCTTGTATTGGCTGGGACCAAATGTTTTCCCCCTTTCAGCCCCTGCTCCATTCCAGTTAGAGCTGTTGACTTGCGAGATGCTCGGCTTATTTCTCCATAGATTCACAACTGCAAAACTGCAGGAGGGGGTTCGGATTTTGTGCGGAGGTTTGCATAGGATGGGGGAGGGGAGGTGCATGGCTTCCTTCCCAGGAGGCCCCTCTTCAGGCAGAGCTGCGCCTGAGTGCATCCTCCAGGAGGGTGCCCGGCCTTTGCGGGGAGACAGCCCCACCTCTTTATGGGGACTCACTGTGGACTAAGGTGTATGAAGAGAGAACTAATGATTTCTTTGAGGGGAATTTAGTATCATGCAGTTTGAGAGCATAAAAGGGTTTGAGACATTAAATCCAAGTCCAGTCCCTCCATTTCACAGATGGTCACAATCAGGCCCCAGTGAGCAAGCGACAAAAGTTTAGGAAAAATCCCAGTTGGCTTTATGGTCAGAATCACTTTTCAATCAAGTGCCTTATTCTGGTCCTGCCTCTCCCAGGGAAGAAGCCCCCTGTGACTAGCGTGGTAGTCCCCCTTCCCCCTTAGCTGCTCTGCCTCAGGCTTTCTCTCTAGGGTGCCAGGCCTTCTCCAGCACCCCTCTGTTCTAACACTGATCCCACTGTCTTATAGGGTAGTGGTTTGGATACTTCGTCATTTCCCTAGCCAGTCATTTTAAATCCTGGCTACCGTTGTAGCTTTTTCAAAATATATTTGCTGGGTTCTGCCCCCGCATTCCAATCAGAATTTGCGGAGTGCAGTGGGCTTCTGGGAAACAGTGGAATGCGCCACGAGTGATTCTCTTTAGCCACTGTTGGGATGTTACCTTGGGCTAGGGTGCTGGGTGGCCTTGTAGGGCTCCATTGGGTGCACCTGGGATGTGTGTAGGGCAGTGGAGCTCCATTCTCTGGGGTCTGTCCCAGTAGAGGCTGGAGCTGGTGGACATTTAATCTCATCACCTTGGTCAGAGTTTGACTTGCAGTATGTCTCGGTAGCGTAAATTACAAGCAGGAGTGTGGGAAGGCAAGCAGGAGGGCTGGAGCTAGGAATGAGAGCCTGCCTTGGTCAGCAACAGCACCTGTTTCTTCCGAGGCCTGATTATGCCAGTTATTTGTTAGGTTTTCAACTCTGAGGAAATTTTCAAAGGTTATGAAGCAACTGTAACCTCATCTTTCCTGCAAGATGTATGTTCATAGCATACATTCTCTGCATTTTCCAAGGAGTGTTTTCCTACACAATTGTTGCAGGTCAATAATAAAACTCTTGTCCTTCACTGAGTCATTCCTTGGGATACAGCTTTTGGACCCAAAGCTTTTGCTGCAGACAGTCCAGAATGGGATTTTTTTTCTCAAGGATGTTTAGGACTGTCTATGAGATGATTCTAAAAAACATATACTTGTCTCCATGGAGCCCTGAGTTGGCCCTTGAGGTATAATAAAAATACATACATACCTGAAAGTAATATGATACCATATGTAAATGATATCTCATTTAAGGATGTTTATTTAGTACTCTCTCTGTTTGCTAACACAGAGCTCTAAAAACCTTGGGATTTCTTGAATGAAAAGAGTGTCTTTGCTGTTCATTAAAAGCCCCTTTTGTAGGGAGCCCCTGTTGGACATAGGAGTCTACTCATGAGGTGACTGGTGAGGTCCTGGATAGCTCAGGATGCTGGTGGAAAGACAAACTATGTGATCAGAGGGTGGAAACTTAAGTTCCCACCTCCTCCAGTGAGGGCTGGAGATTGGGTTATGAAACCTTTGAACTGGGAGGGTGGTGCACAGGGAGAGGCCCCTGCATGTCTCCTCCAGTTGGCTGCTCCTGAGTTGTGTACTTTCTAATAAATGGGTAAACGTCAGTAAAGTGTTTTCCTGAGTTCTGTGACTTCTGGTAAGTGTGTGTGTGTGTGTGTGTGTGTGTGTGTGTGATGTATGGTAGGAACCTTTGAATTTGTGGTCTGCCAGGCAGAAGTGTAGGACGCCTGGTATCCCATTCGTGCCTGGTGTATAATGTGAGGGCAGTCCTGTGGGACTAAGTCTTTTAACTTGTGGGACCTGACACCAACTGCATGTAGTGGCAGCATTGACTTGAACGGTTACAGCCAGTTGGTATTGGAGAATTGGTTATTGGTGTGGAAACCCTCACACTTGTGTCAGAAATGGTATCAAAAAAGACACCACATGTCTAGACTCCATTTACCTCAGACACCGTAAGTGCTCCGGGCAGCGGTTTAGCTTGGTCCAGTGCATTGAGCCAGGCCCAGAGTCCGACTAACCTGTTGAACCTAGAGAAGTGGAACTGATGCCCAGCATGGGGCCCATGGTACTGTTCCATGCCATGGGCCAGAGCTGGCTTGCTAGTTGGCTGAGTGTTACTTTGAGTCCCAGGGAAGGAGGGCCTGAGTTTTTGTAATGATGCTTGGGGGTGGGGGGCATCAGAGCACTTGGAAAACGGTCAGCAGCCTTGCTGACGCAGTTCGATGAGCTGTATCTGGCATGGAGGTGTGGGGAAGTCTCTGAAGTCACTGTAGCCTCTGCTCAGAGCAGAGGCCAAGTGGCCTGGCTCCAAGACAGATGCTAGCCTCCTGCTGTGTTCATGACGAGGTGATCAGAGAGGCTAGGGAGGAAAGTCATGTGTTAAGTTGAAAATCTGAGTGATCATTTTGTTAGCAGTGGACTGGGAGGCTGGTGTCCTGATGTGCCTTTTTCTGATTAACATGATATAGAGGCTACTGAGGGTTAGTGGCACTCCTCTAAGGAGGAGCCACTCAGTGTGTGGGAAAGCAGTGTAGCAGCCGGGTGCAGCCTGTGGTTTAGGACAAGCTGCTCAGTCCCTTCACCTCTGGGTGGTGATTATTGTAGTGTAATTAGTTCGTTGAGTTTTCCTAGAACATGGATTTTTCAGTCTTCTGTAGTCTGCTTTCATTTTGCCTATTCTACTCGTCCTCCTTGTGCCACTACAGTGATCTAGTAACAAATAGATGTGGTGGAGATACACAGAATTAGGGCACAAAATAGAGAACTGTCCTGGGTCAGTGAGTGTTTCCATCTTGACTGCTGATAGGAAGCAGCTCTGAGCAGAGGGAGAAGCAGAGGCTCCCTTGTCAGTGAATAGAATAACCTAACCCGGGTCAGATCACACACACAGATTACTTCCAGGTTCACTGAACCTAGGTCTGAATGCGTGTCAGAACAGCACAGCTTCTTGGAAATAATACAGTAGACTGTCTTCATGACCTCAGGTTAGAAAGAGATCGAGAATCTGAATTAAAACCAAGAGTTTATGTTCATCAGATGTTGGGTAAAAATACAAGCCACAGTCTAAGTTACTTGCAACACATTCAGATGGAGAAAGACTGGTGTCTTGAATATTGAACTGCTACAGACAGAAAGATGGACAACTCTATAGAAAACAGAGTTTTGAGCAACTAAAAAGATGTTATCTTAATGGCTAGTAACCAAGGAAACATGTTCAACCTCATTACAAATCAGAGAAATGCAAATTAACCCACACAGGGCCCTCTCTCCTCCCCTCCCCCAATGGCTGAGTGTAAAGACTGATGAGGGCAAGTTTGAGGTGGCTGCTGATCATGCTGGCACAGCTGCAGCGGCTCTGCCCAGAGAGCATGGCGGTTCTGTAACACTGAACACATTACCACCTTTCGGCCCAGTAATCCCACCCCTGGGTGTGTCTCCAGCTGAGATGAGAACATGGCCACCATGAAGTTTAGAAGGATGTTTATGGAAGCGTTACTTAGAGCTGCCCACAGTGGATGCAAGGCACATGTATCACGGAGTAGCTAGATGATGGCGTGGCCGGACAGTGAGCTTCTGGGTGCAACAACCACACGGATGAATCTGTGTTCACTTGGTGGCCCCTCAGGTGCAAACCCCAGGAGTTGCTCTTGGGTCCTTGCCCTCCTGGCTTTCTGCCCTCACACCTGTGGCTGTCTTAGCTTCAGCCAAGTGGGACCCCCCTGGCAGCACTTGCAGGACAGCTCTCTTTGTCGAGGGCTCTTTCCTGCCCTTTTGTGGGACGTGCCAAACTATTTCCATCTTTCAGCTCTCCCAACTGTCAAGCCCCTGACATACACACAGGCAAAAACCAAGAGCCCTTCCTCACCATGCCTCACTCAGCCAGTATGCCCCTCTGTGTCCACACCCAGTCATCCTGGGCGCACAGCCCTGAGCACCGTTTGTGCACCGCTACCACATGCACCGGCTCAGCGGTGGGGTTGAGTTCTCCCAGTTCACTCCAAATGCTGGGCTGCAGGAGATGGAGCTTTGCTGAAAGTAATGACTTCACTTGAGGATTTTGTACTTGGGGTGGGAGCTGTTTGTGTTATATTTGGTAAGCAGATGGCAGTTCTCTGAATCTATAAAATCTGTCTATCTGGGTAGACTCTGTTTGGGATTTATAACATCAATTTTTAGTTCAAGATGGAAATCCTGAGCTCACTCCCTGTGAGGACTTGGCCAGGTGACTTGAGGGAAATCTTGCTCTGCTTAATCAAACTCAGTCAGAAATCACCTTTGTTGTATCCAGAGTATATTCCTCTGGCTTCTGATGTAAATAAAGACAGCGGCAAGTATAGTACATGAAATTCGTGGGACCTTAGGGTCAGAATGTCCTGCTGGTGTGGGAATAAGTTGAAAAGAGATAGTTTAAACCTTACAATTTAAAAATCTCTTAAGCTTTTGTTGACACCCTTTTTCTTCTAAAAGTTGAGTGCAAAAAAGCATTCGTGTCATTTGGACTCTGCTGGCTGCAGACACGTGTTCTGGTTCTTGGAGTGAGCCTCGGGTCCTCAGGAGGGTGAGGCCAGACCAGCTGCTCTGCTGCAAGAGCCAGGAATGGGTGCTGTTCAAGGCCATGCTGCTTGTGTGTCCCCAGCTCCTCTTGGAAATGGAAGGGTTGTCTGGTTGTTAGGACTGGGTGGCCGAATGGGTAGAAATTCAACAAAACTGTCCTTGTTTTGTCCCCTCAGGCTCCTGGGTGGAACTGCATTTTAGCAGTAATGGGAACGGGAGCAGTGTGCCAGCCTCTGTTTCTATTTATAATGGTGACATGGAGAAAATCCTGCTGGATGCCCAGCATGAGTCTGGACGGAGCAGCTCCAAGAGTTCTCACTGCGACAGGTGGGTGCAGACCATGCGTGTCACAGTGCTGCCGTACTAGGAGCAAGCAGGCTCAGCTGTGGTGCCGGTTCCCTTAGACAGCAGCCACTTGTTCTCTGGTGGGAGCAGGGACCACGATGCAGCCAGGGGTGGACACCATTCTGTCTCCTCCCCCTGCTTCTGCCCCCTCGCCTCTAGTAGCTTTGTCTTGAGCCGATGTCCTCCGCATAGCCGGGGTGACTCCAGACAGCATGGCTGAGTCCGAGATCAAAGGCTAGGTGCTCTCTGAGACTGTGTAACAGACCTTAAAGCCAGTGGGTGACAGCCCCCCTCGCAGCACTGGCTAGTTGATGCTTGTTAAGCTCGGCTGAAAGGTGGGAGATGGGTCTGGCCGTGGCCTGGTGCCAGTGGTAAAGGAAGGTGCTCCTCACTGGATCGCCCCTGTCTGCGGGGCTCTGCTTCTCCTGATGGAGAGCGAATGTTAACATATTCTGTTTTCCCCACTCGCATTCACACCATTTCCTAGCCCGCCTCGCTCACAGACCCCGCAAGATACGAACCGAGCGTCTGAGACAGACAGCCATAGCATTGGAGAAAAGAACAGCTCTCAGGTAGGCCTGGGATGGGTGTGTAGTGTGTGGTCTGTTCTGCAGTCAGTCTGCAGTGGGACCTGGTAGAGAAACGTCTGACTTTGGGGGTGCCTTCTGCCTTTTTTTGGAATGTTTGGGGTGAGGGCATCTCTAACACTCAGGCTCACACTGAGCCGACCAGAGGAGGTGCGTACGACTTTAGGTAGGACACTGGATGGGGCCCTCTGCTTCATATACCTGTGGCCTGGAGTGGGAATGGTGACTGGGGTCATTAGTAGGTGGTTTTTGTCGTCTTGGCTATAGATTGGGCTGTGAGTGGGTTTTAATATTTGCAGAGAGCCGCATTATCTACAGGCCGCTCAGGCACCTCTGCCACTGTGGTCGAAATGCTGATAGGCCTTCATCATTGGGCACTGCAGTTGGTCCAGAAACTACTGTTAGGCCAGGCTAACTGATGGGTACTTGGGTGGTTTAGAGTTAGAAGCTAACCAGGCTGGTTATTTCAGCCCACGGTCCCAGTTCTAACATGTCAGGGCTAAGCTTTGCTGTGAAAATAAGTGCAGGGTAACAGCCCTAGCAGATGTGTTGGTGGCCGAGGCAGCACATGGGGCCAGCTCGGCACATAGGAAATGCCCCCTTGGGTACTTCTTCCAGCACTTAGTTCTCTCCCTCCCAGCCGGTCTCCTTCAGAAGGGCGAGAGAGTTCTGTACCCCAGGCTTTGTCTGACACCAAAGGCGGCTTCCAGCAGGAGTGCCTGCCCCAGACACTCGGGTCAGTGCCCAGCTGGGATGCCCCTGGACGTCTGGTTGGCTTTGGTAACTGCATTCTGGAGTATTTCTAAAATGTTCAGCAATTTTTTTGGGGGACTTTAAAAAGGGATTTTATGCTCAGGTACAGACTTTTTTTTTTTTTTTAATGCAAAACACCTATAAATTCTACTTTTTAAAGTTCTCTTTAATTAGTGTATTGTGTTATATAATTTAAAAAAAAATGTAACTGGGATCACGGGGCTGTGAGTTTGGCTTTCCTCTGCCACTTCACGCGAGAGCAGCTTTCTCTTACACTGTTTGCTCTGCAGTGTCCGTTACTGAGCCACTGCTCGGCCTGAGTTTTCGTTTCCTTCTGTTGTGACAGCACTGAGGTCAGCATCTTTGGGTGTCTCTGCCCTCAGGACAGTATCCTTGGGACAGTGTTTGCAGCTCATCCTGCCACCAGATCTCACAGTTGGGACTTTGACCTTAGTGCCTCTCTGTCTATAAAGGGGGAAGAGTATGAGATGCAGCCCCATGGCCCACCCTCCGCCTGTGGACCCGGCTCTGAGCTCAGCCTTTGGTCTGATGTCGGGCAGTAGGCGATGCTCTCTGGTGTGGGTGTGATGGTTGGTCTGCTTTTAACATTCACTTTCTCTCAGTCTGAGGAAGATTACATTGAGAGAAGGAAAGAAGTTGAAAGCATCCTAAAGAAAAACTCAGACTGGATTTGGGACTGGTCAAGTCGGCCGGAAAACATTCCCCCCAAGTGAGTCTGTTTTGAGCATCATGAACGATCTTTGAGGTGGAGCATGCCAGTGAGCTCACAGCTCTTCCCTCCACAGGGAGTTCCTGTTCAGGCATCCGAAGCGCACGGCCACCCTCAGCATGAGGAACACGAGTGTCATGAAGAAGGGGGGTGTCTTTTCGGCTGAGTTTCTCAAAGTCTTCCTTCCGTCTCTGCTGCTCTCGCACCTGCTGGCCATTGGGTTGGGGTAAGTGACCCTGTATGGCCTGCCTGGGCGGTTCTAGGTCTCAGCGACTTGGTTTTAAAGGTTGTACTGAAATAATAGGTCATAAGTCACAGCTTATGTAACTGTGTAAGCAAACATGCCCATGTGATCACCGTTCGTCACCCTGGAAACCCCTCCTCCTGCCCCGCAGGCCAGCCTGGCATTGATGCTGCCAGCCCAGGCAAGGGCACGCAGGTGGTACACATGCTGGCTGCCTTACCTGTGCGAAGTGCAGGTGCAGACAACCGGTCTCTCCTTAGTGCCCACTGTGTGTGCACTCTAAACGCCCCTTTCTACTGCAGAGAGGAGGTGCCGTCACCCACACCTCCTGCAGGACAGCAAGGCCCTCATTCTCTGGGTTCTCACACCAACGATGCAGAAAACACAAGTTCAGCTACTGACAATAAGGACCTTCAACCCAGACAGCCCTGAGGCACCGGGCATGAATCTGGGGAGCTGAGGCTGCTCTTCTCTCTGGCTCGTCCCCAGCCTCTGTCCTGGGTTGGTGGCCTCACTCATCCTGCTGGGCGACGGTGCTCTGGCTGCAGCTTACTGGACAGATTGGATGGGCAAGACAGCTTCTGATTTAGGCTGGTGCCACTTGGTGGGAGGGCTTGAGTCTGAGACAGACTGGAGTTCAGAGCCCATTTTCCATGAAACCGGTAGCCTTGGAGGTGAGAGTGGGGTTGCTTTCCTTGACCTCGGAACCCTAGACTATAGTTCTGCCTGTGGGAATGACTTCCTGGGTGGGCTCCTTGATGTCAGCATGTCCAGATTTATTGTGGCCAGTGCTTTTCAGGGTCAGACTCACCTGGGTGTTTATATGCAGTGATTTCTGGAGCTTTCTCCAGAACTAGCACCTCAGATTCTGAAGGTAGGACCTTCATTTCAGGGTGGTGTCTGCAGCCAGCTCCCACCTGGTGGCTGCCCTGCATCCTTCCTTCCATGCTTAACCCCAGACTCCTCGGGGCTCCCCTCTCCATTCCCCTCTTTACCATTTGCCACGGCCTGCTAGGCTCCTAAAGGTCTGTCCCACTTTCCTAGAGTCACACCCTCCTCCTCCATGGTCTCTGTGAGGTTGGTGGCCATTACCAGGGTGGTGACTTTCTCCAGCAGGCTGTTGCTGGATCAGCTTAAAAATAAAAGGGCTGTTGCATCCCTTGACTGTAGTGGAAACATGAAGGTTGGTGAGTCTCCTTTATGCAGGTGTTGAGGGCGCACTGCACTGGGGATATGCTTGGAATTTGCTAATGAGGTGATTGTAGGGTGCACACTGGTGGGAAGAGACCACTAGGTAATCGTGCAGCCAGTCTGAGCTGACGCTAGGACAGCAGGGCTAGCCCCTTTCGGCCGTGGAGTCCTGGGCCTACACTCACCGCTGTTACTTTTCTGCTCAGGATCTACATTGGGCGGCGGCTGACCACCTCCACCAGCACCTTCTGATGAGGAATTGGAATTGGCTTTTCACAAAGGAGTGGGATTCATACTGGAGCTTGCGACGTGGCTCACTGAGGCGCTGTCCTGCCTTGGTGGCTGGATGCGGTGTTGATTTGTTCTGTAAATGCTGTGTGCCCGATTTAGTGAGACGTGGATAGACACTGAAACCACACTAACCTAGAACCAACCGTACCTGTGGGATCAATGAGCATGTCATACTAATACTACTGGAATAATGTAACTTTTCTTTGATATTATAAATACCTGAGTATAAATAAGGATAAATAATTTTACCATGCTAGTCATGATGTATGTAGTATTTTAATAAAAATTACCTGTAACCTTAATTCAGTTAAAATTCTCCCTATTTCGAAAGAATGAATGATGTTTTTCAAGTGACTCCATAAAGGGTTTATCCCAAATAAACATGTGGCCTTACATTGACACCGTTGTAGGACTTCAGTACAGGATGCAGGTGTCTCCTGAAGACCACGCTTCAGTGCTAGTTTTCTGAGTCATGTGTTGATAGGGTCTGGGGCACATGTTGGGCCCTGTGCAGCGCAGATACTGGCCTGCGTGCGGGGCAGGGTCTGTGACTAGTGACCACGTGGATGACGTGCCTAAGACACCTGCTAACGCACCTTCCTCATTCCCACTCTGGATTGCTGAATTTAGGCTTGTGTTCATTTTTGCGTGCTCTGAGATTCAGCTTCATTCTAAGCAAATCTGTGTCTACTTTAAAAGACTGGAAGTACAAAACTAACTCTTTGCCAAATCCTTCAGAAATTACTGTATTTATATATGGTTTAAAAGGAAACACCATAAAAGCTTTATGATTAAACTGGCATACTCCCCATTGTCTGAGTTCTTTATTTTCTCTCTAGCATGGTTTTTTAAAGGCTGCCTCTGGTATACCACCGTTTATGCTGTCCTGTATTTGTTTCACTTTTCCACACTAAATGCAGCTATGTTAAAATAAACGTAACAGTTTCATTTTTTAAAATCTTTGTTTGTGCCCTGGCCCGTTTGGCTCAGTGGTGAGTTTGTCAGCAATTCTTGGTCGATGGCACGTACCTGGGTTGCAGGTTTCAATCCCTGGCCCCAGTTGGGGCGAATGCAGGAGGCAACCAATCGCTGTGTCTCATATCAGTGTTTCTCTC